AGGGGGTCTGGGTTGATCCTATGCTGGTTTCCCAGCTATCAGTCTGGGGTCCATGAGCTCCTCCTTGTTCAGGTCAGCTGTCTCTGTGGGTTTCTGTAGCCTGGTCTTAACCCCTTTGCTCCTGCCTCTCTGCAACTGGATTCCAGTTTGGCTCAGTGTTTAGCTGTGGGTGTCTGCTTCTGTTTCCATCAGCTACTAGATGAAGGCTGTAGGATGGCATATAAGGTAGTCATCAATCTCATTATCAGGGAAGAGTATTTAATGTAGCTTTTCCACTGTTGCTCAGATTGTTAGTTGGGGTCACCCTTGTAGGTCTCTGAGCATTTCTCTAGAGCCAGTTTTCTCTTCAAAGCTGTAATGGCTCCATTATCTCTTTTCTTGATCTCATCTATTCGTCCCCTGACTCAATCTTCCTGGTCTCTCATGTTCTCCTCTCCCCTCCTCTTTCTCCTAACTCCCTCTCCACTCACTGACCCCCCATATGCTCAGGAGATCTTGACCCTTCCCCTTCTGTGGGGGACCATGGATGACTCTTAGGGTCCTCCTTGTATCCTAGCTTCTCTGGTGATGTGAGTTGTATAGCCCCTAGTTCTTTTAGTCTTGAGTTCTGTTATAGGAGAGACCAGATGGAGAGACACTTCCATTTTCAAGCAAAACCGGAAGAAAATATTTCCTATCTAGAATTCACCAGGCTGAAGTTGTTTATAGTCACCAGCATGCAAAACTTTATTTTTATTTTTTGGCATTTTCAGAGAGGGTTTTATGAAGTTTTATGAAGGATGAACTTAAACTTGATCCTCCTTGATATATTGTAGATATTCACCACCAAACCTGGTTTTATACAAGCTCGAGTCTGAACTTTAAGCTTTAAATGAAGCAAACATTGTTCCAAGTAAGTTACATCCCAAGCCCTGCAAAAGGGTCTCAATATTAAGGAACAACCTCTGGGCATAGATAACTGGGGCAGCACCTGTGAAATGTTTTTGGTGTCAAGGTTAAGTCCAGAGTGTAGGTGGTAGGAGTTTGTATTCTGTGAGTTCAAAGACTGGAGGCAACCATCACATGTTGTTTTGTTGTTTTGAGACAGGGTCCCTCTACAGTTCAGGCTGGTCTTGGACTTGCAGCAATCCCCTGTCAGCCTTCTAAATGCTGACATTACAGCTACCATGAAGAGCTACCTTAGTCAGCTCACACAATTTTTTTTTTTTTTTTTTTTGCTTTTTCGAGACAGGGTTTCTCTGTTACTTTGGAGGCTCTGTAAAACAGGCTGGCCTCAAACTCACAGAGATCCACCTGGCTCTGCCTCCTGAGTGCTAGGACTAAAGATGTGTGCCACCAACACCTGGCTCTTCCAACAATCTTATATTGCCCCAAGTACTTTGTCTAGAGGCTACCTTGAAGAAATTCCTGGGTGTGAAACTTACCTAATAGATTGGCTTGGTATCTAAACAGTTTTGTGGTTTGCATACTCTTCGGATGTTGAAGTAACTATTATAGCAAACTGAAGCCTTACTCTCTTCCTTCTTAACATGGATTCCATGGTCAGAATTAAACCCCTCATTTTCCTGGCTAAGTACCCCCTGAGCAAATCTGAACAGCTGAGGTCTGTTTTTCTAGATTACAAAGTCACACATTCACAATAAAACACAAGTCGGCAGCCCCTCGTTATACATTCCTGTACGGTAATTGTGGGTGCATTCCTCCAATAAAAAGAAATGGCAAGGCAGGCCGTGGTGGCACACATCTTTAATCCCAGCACTTGTGAAGCAGAGCTAAGCGAATCTCAAGTTTCATGACCAGCCTGATGTATAGAGTTAGTTCCAGGACAGCTGAAGAAGTACTCAGAGTAACTGTCTCAAAAAAAAAAAAAAAAAGAAAAAGGAAGGGAAAGAAAAGAAATGGCAAAAACTGACAATGCTTACCTGTAAGACAGTTTATGGTATTAAACACATCAACTGTTATAGTGCCTTAGCCAGGAATTATTTAAATAGCTCCCAAATAATATGCAGTGTAGGCTGTAAGTATAGTTCATATACCATATACTGACCAGTTATTTTCTAGGATAAACACGGAAGCGAAGCAGAGGATGCTCCCAATCACTTTTCTGGCCCTGATCATCTTCCTATAAATATTCAATCACCTGCTTCATAATAAATCTTTTGGAAAAATAATATCTGTACACTAGTATTATTTTAAAAATGTTTAATTTTGGGCATTGGTGGCAAATACCTTTAATCCCAGCACTCATGAGGCAGAGGCAGGCGGATCTCTGAGTTTGAAGGCAGCCTGGTCTACAGAGTGAGTCCCAGGGCAGGCTCCAAAGCAATACAGAGAAACCCTGTCTCAAAAAACAAAACAAAAAAAAGTTACAAAAAAAATGTTTTATTTGAAGCTGGGCAATGATAGTACATGCCTTTAATCCCAGCACTTGGGAGTTTAGGCCAGCTTGGTCTACAAAGCAAGTTCCAGGACAATCAGAGCTATACAGAGAAACCGTCTTGAACCCCTTCCCCAAAAAGTGTTATTTGTGTGTGTAGGGGGGGTTCCACTTGTGAGTACAGATGTCCACAGATGAGAGGCAATTGTGAGCCACCATGTGGCTGCTGGAGACCAATGCTGGGTCCTCTATAAGTGCAGTATGTTCTTTTAAATCACTGAGCCTCATCTCCACCCCCCCCCCATATGTCTTTAAATGTACTCAAATGAGTCCTACATCTTGTGGGCTGCCATCTTTCTCTACCTTGTGTTTCACTATTCCCCTCCCTCTCCTACAGAGCTAATGAGCTCCTTCTCTGAAGTCCCCATCTTATATAACATAGGTTCCCTCCCCTCTGTTACCTGTTCCCCTGTCTCTAAAGGCTTCCTCTGCCACTGTATCAGGTACCAGTCTGACATCCCTATATATCTTCTCATCTACGACCCTTACAGAGTTGCCAGATACATCTTACCCAGGTCCTTGGCTTTGTAGACACATCTGGAAAATGTGGTGGTCAATTTTGTCAACTTGATTAAACTTTTAAAAGCACTATGAAAAAAATGCTGCTAGGTATGTGTATCAGACCCACCTTAAACGTGGATAGCAGCATCTTGGAGCTAGAATAATAGATTGTATATAAAAGAGGAAGTGAGCACCAACATTGTCTCTTGGCTCCCACACTGTGGATACAAATGAGACCAGCTCCTCTATGCTCTAGCTTACTATGTCTTCCCCACCGTAACAAGGCATATCCCATCACCCACAAGCCAATATAAATGTTTCCTCCCCTGTGCTATTTCTTGTTGGGTATTTGGTCACAGCAACAAGCAATTGATAGACATGCAGACCTGTGCATGAAGCTCCTTCCTCCTCCCCATGCCTGTTAAAAAAAAAATTAAAATCTCCCATGTGGGGATAAAAGTACAGTTCAGTGGGACACCATTTTCCTAGCACCTATGAATCCCCAGATCTATAAAATAATAACAAATACGGAGTAATTCTGCCCAGCAACTTCAGGTCTAACTCACTTAGAAATCTTACACCCATCCTGGCCACCAGTCCCAGTGCCCAGGCCAGAAACCCTGAACCTTATAAGTAGTGGCTTTGCTTCCCAGGCTCTACCTACCCAGTAAATCATTCAAGCTGTGACCTCAGCTGACTCCTCTTTGCTTGTCCTTCTCTTGCCCACAGGGCCTCTCATTGAACTCCCAGCCATTTTCCATTGGCATGACTAACAACTTGGAATTTTTCAAGGATTTTTTTCTGTCCTTCATCCATTCCTCTCCATCCATCCTCCTCTTTTTCCATTTCCCCCCTGCCCCAAAGGATTGATGGCACCCATGCCTTGCAAATGCCAGGCAAGCATTCCACTGTGAGCTACATCCTACACACTCCATATCCCTTATTTACTTCTTTCCCTGAGAAAGGATCTCATTATGTAACTCAAACTATCTCATACTATCAATCCTCTGGCCTCCACCTTCAGGGTACTATGATTTAAGGTCTTCCACTATGCCTAACCCCTTAGTAACTTTTATTGTTATTTGTTGAGACAGGGTCTCATGTAGCCCAAAGCTGGCTTGGGACTCACTATGTAACAGAGAATGACCATGAACTTCTGATCTCCAAAAATGAGAGTATAGGTATGTGCCACCAAGTCCTATTCTTTGACATTTTAACGAGGACTCCGTATTTCCTTCCTTCCTGTCATTTTCTTTCTTATTATTTATTTATATATTTGAGCTTGGCTGTCCTGGAACTCGCTCTGTAAACCAGGCAGAACTCAGAGATTCATCGGCCTCTGCCTCTCAAGTGCTAGGATTAAAAGTGACCACTAGGCAAGGACCATATTTTCATCTTGTGGCTCTATAAATTCTATAGCTAATCCTTGTACCAGAGACACATGCCAGCACATTGACCAAAGAACCAGGTGGACAGTGGTCCTCTGCTCCCAAGTCAGCCCCAGACACCAGGAGGCTCTGGTGCTAGTGTGGGAGCTAATGTTCTGCCAGACAAGGGAGCTTACCAGGGACACAAAATGTATGCCATGGTGGGCCTGGCAGCTTTGTTGAGGACTCTTGGAAGTCAAGTGCACAGAAGCAACATTAGGGTGTATAGTTCTGGATATACCAGAAGGCTCAGAGCATATCACTGCTGGCTGGACTTGAGCCAGGTGCCTAAGCCAGACATTTCTATCGTATTCTGACTCCTGAGCTTCAATGGTAAGCCCTAATTCAGCATTGCTGGCTAAGAGGGACAAGAAGTCCTAAGCCTAGTGATGAGTTCAGACACTCAGAGTCCTGATTACATGATATACTCCTCACTTCTCCCAACCCAAACTGTGAGATTTGCTCCAGTAGCTGGAAAAGATGGAACCTCAGGCCCTGGAAAGTTGTGCTAGGGGAAGACCCTTAAAGGAAGCACCCCCCCAACAAACAAACAAGCAAACAGAAAACCACCTGGCTGGAGGCTGAATCAGCTTTAGTAAGAGAGAGGCTAGTAGGTGGGGCTGGTTGGCGTCTCTCCATGATGGGGATATAGGACAGTAGAGGGAAAAGGAGGCTAGGGTTCAGACCCAAGGGTTAAACATCCAGGTCAGTGACACTTGACTTAGTGTAGATTTGTGTTTTTCGCTGCACAATACCAGGGCTAAAGGTGGCCCCCAGTGGCCAGTGGCGGACCACATGACGATAGGAGGAGGCCAAGTAGTCAAAGTAGTTGATGTTGAGTTTCCGGGCAATGTGCCGGCCCAGGAATTCCATTTGCTATGAATAAGTAAGTGGCAGCCAGCTCTCCTTTCTCCAGATAGGAGACTCCTGCCACCAGCATCCTCTTTAGGTATCCCTTCCCCTTACCAAGAGAGTATCCCTACCCCTCCCCCAAATCCACAGTGCTCCTGCCACCCTTAGCAAAGTGGAGGCCTCAATAGAGAAACTGTGCTGTAATTACCCTCGGAGTGAAAAGTAGCCCCATTCAAGAACTCTAAGCAGAAGTTAGTATCTTTTGGGGGGGGGCAGCATAGAACCTACCTCATATCGCTCTGACAGCTGCACCAGCACAAGTGGCTCTAGCTTGTGGCCACAAAGGACCAGCTGGAAGAAGCACCTGCCATAGGCTGCCAATAGATGAGCAATGAGCCAGCAACCTAACTTCCCAAGAGGCTAGGGGGAGGGTGGTAGGGGTGAGGCCTCCAGGGTGGGAGTGTCTAGCATATTGGTCCCTCCCAGCTCTGAATTCATATCCCCTCCCTCTACCCTCTCCTATCCCAGGCATCACCATCAGAGCTGAGTGCCAGGCGCACGTAGACCAGATGCATTGGCCCTTGACATACAGTTCGGCCTTGGATAGAGAAATGGTACATGCCACGAGAGTGGTTCAGCACTAGGCGGCGCCTGGGAATTGAGGAAACCATGAGCCACAGGCCTATAGCCATGCCATAGGCAGGAAAGCACCAGGTCTCCTGCTTCTCCACCTGTAGGCACCAAGGATTAATAATAGGGAGGTGAGTTCCAGCAGGAGGTTCCTGTGTGGCCCTCATGCAAAGAGAGCTGTGGGGTGGGGGGCAGGAGCTCTGACCTGCCTGAGGACATCACAGCAGATCAAGAAAAGGCAGACGATAAAGAGTAGCGTCCCCTTCCAGAGCGTGTCCAGGTAGTACTCGAGCACAAAGACTAAAGACAGTATGATCAGGCACATGAGGACAGCCAGAAGCTGTCCCTAGGTATTGGACAGTGCCAGGGATTTGGAGGAAAGGGCCCACCCAGTGGAGGTTCTCCATGCTACTCCAGTGCCTGCACCCACAAGTACACCTGCCTACCCTAACCCATCCAGGCTTCAGCCAGCCTCTCCACTTCTGGGAACCTGGCCATGCCCAGTCCCCTGCCCACCATCCGGCTGCTGCTGCTTGAAGGGGTAGAAGCTGTTGTTCTTGAGGCGCTTGGCCAAGTGGCGCTCAGTAGAGAAGAGTCCTAGGGCCCAGAGCTGGAAGCGCTGGGCAAAGACAGACGTGGGGAGGCCACTGCTCTGCTCCTTGGGGACCTAGTTAGGTTGAAGTAGTCAGCATACAGCTTGCTCACGGCCACCACCCACTGCCTATATCCAGGGCTCCCACCCGAGACAATTCCAGGGTTGCAGTTCAGGAAGGAGCAGGAGCTGCCAGACAACAGCAGGGCAGGGCAGTAGGCAGTAGTCCAGGCTGGGCTGTCTGGATTCTAGAAGTTCAAGGGTAAAGGATTCTAGAATGGGCTTTTCATTGACCACACTTTTCTAGAGAACATGCCCATTCTGGTCAGTTTCCACTACCTGGAAGGCAGCCTGGCTTTCTCATGGCTAGACAGGCTTAGCCAATGTTGTCAACACTGTCAACTCACAGATTCTGGTAGCTGATAAAAGCCTCTGTGCTTCCCCCCCCTCATTTTACCCTATCCTCATAAAACTGTGTCCCAAGGGTGGGATTCACACAGTCTAAGAGTCAAACCCTGCAGTGAACAGACACAGCAAACCCTTGGGCTAGGAGACCTAAGGGCCATTCCTACACATACAGGCCTGGGTTGCTATAGTCCATTAGGCATGATCCATTTTTCATGAAACAACTTATTCTGAGGACCATGCTTGTAAGTCTATCACTTGGGAGGCTGACATAGGTGGATTGCTGTGAGTTTAAGGTCAGGCTGAGCGACATTGAGTTTCATGCCAGCTTAGATTAGCGTGAGCAGAATCTCAAATAAAACAACGAACCATACAGAATACCTAAAAATACTTTATTGTAACAAAAACCAAAACATTTCCAAGTGAAAATGACCAGGGCAAAGCTGGTGTCTAGTTAAGTGGACTCTCTGGAGGATAGCGGACTTGTAAGTAGCTGCTCTAGACACCACTGGACTTCCTCCAGGCCCCGGTAGGCACGCTTCAGTCCCCTGGGGAGGCACCGGCAGGACTCCAGATTCAGATACAGCAGTCCTGGACAACTGCTAATCACAGAACTGTGGGACAGGCAGGCCATGGGAAAGTGAGCTGTTGGTCAGGGAACTCTGTCTGCCCTCACCAGGCCTACCACCTAGATCCACCCAGGGCTAAGTCTAGTTCTCTTGATGTCCCCAAGTAGGAGTCTGACCAGTGCCTACACCTCTGGTTCTCCAAGTCATATATGGCAGCAAACAGTACGTGATTCAAAGAACTAGGGAAAGAGGCACTGACCTGACTGTGCTTGGCGTGACTCGGGTACCCCTTAGGTTGAGGGAACACAAGGCTGGGAGTGAGCCCCCAGAGGTGCCAGAGAAAACAGATAGGGCCTGTTCCAAGTCTTTCTCGCTGAAGCCTTGGCCACTGAAGTCCAGCTCCCTCAGGGTGTGATACCACTTCTGGGTCAATAGGGGGCTACCTTTCTTAGCCAGAGTTAACCCATCAGATATACCATACAGGCCCAGGTACAGTTGCTCCAGCTCTGAGAAGAGAGAACTGAGAGTCAATAGTAGGCAGGCAATGATCCCACACTGCACCTACCACACATGGCCAGCTGACCTTGACATGGTAAATCACACAGGCCAGTGGGTGTGATCCGAGCACAGCCACGAAGATCCAGCAGGCGCAGTTTGGGGGAGCAATGGAGCAAGCGTCCCAGAACCTCATTGCTCACAAAGTTGCAGGAGGAGCCAGCTAGGCAGAGCTCCTCAAGACTGGGGAAGCCTGGTCCCCGGGGTACCCCTCGTCCACAAGGCTTGGGAAGCCAAATCAGATTCAGGAGTCGTAGCACCTGGAGTTGGGAGGAGGGACAGGCTGTAGATAAGTAGATGGGCGGCAAGTGGGAGAAGGTAGGCCATAGATACCTGTAGCCGGGGGCAGCCTTTCTGCAGAGCCTCCACAGGCAGTTGCAGGGGTGTGCTGTTGCAGTTCATGCCAGTGCTGACCTCTAGGACTTGGAGCTGGGGGCAGCAGCTACCCTGTAATGGCAGGGAAACACACGAGGTCAAAGGCCTGGCAGTTCCCATGCAACTCCGTTCCTGCCCATCACCAACCTACCAGCAGCGCACCCAAGATGGCTGTTGTCTGGGAACTGTAGGTCAGCCACAGCTTCTGCATTCGGGACCCTGCCTCCTCCAAGAAGTTCACCATAGCTGTGGACTCTACCTAGGGATCCAGCACAGGAGTGCATGTCACCTCACAAGGGCCCAGGCTTTTTCAGAGCTCCTTGGGGCACATGACTCACCATGGAATGGTGTAGGTTCAGGCTGTGGAGCTGGCAGCAGGATTTTGCTAACATGATCAGAGTGTCAGCAGTCACGCTGTGGCAGTCTGAAAGCTTGAGGAAGGTGAGCCGAGGACAGAACTTGCTAACCAGCTGTGGCAAGAGAAAGGCTGTCTGGGTTGGGGAGGTAAAGACCTACAGAGACACTGAAGGTCCCAACAAGCCCATCCTATGGCCCAGCTATGACTCCATTCTGTCCATGCCAAGTATACTTGGCAACTTCCTACCGGAGATGTCAGCAAGACAGAACTGGATAGGCAGGCGGACATCTTTGTGAGAGAACACCAGGGCACTCCCCGATAGTGGACAACTCAAATGTTACAGCTGGTGTACAGGGCAGGCTGAAGCTCTCACCTCCAACACAGCGTGTACTTGAGATTTCCAATGGATGAGGGTCAACCTCTGGAGTTGTGAGAACCTGGGCGACAGCAAGGCCTATTCGCGCTAGAGTCCTCATGCTGCCCCTCTGGCCAGCATCCTCCTTACCCAACACTGATGCACGGAGGCACAGGCAGAGCAAGAGACTAAGATGACAAAGGACCCTCACCGATTGGGTATGAGCCACTCCAGAGAAGTAAGGAGCTTCTTCTCTGCCTTAAGGTTGCCCTTGGAAGTCCGGCCAACCAGTGGGGGTGACAGGGTAACAGTGTGCCAAAGCCCAGGATGGGAGGCAGCTTCATGCCAATGGCGGCAAACGCGTGCGGCCCTAGGAGAAGAAACAGTTTGCTGCAAGTGCATGGCTTTCTGTAAGTGGCGCCTATAATAAAGTGTCTTGGGAGCAGCATATCTGCCCTTGCAACTTGCCGCAAAGCGGTCTCAAAGCCGAGTTTGAGGGGTTCCAAAAGTGGAGACAGGTGCTGGAGCACTCATGTATGCCCACTGAGATGCTTTGCCCTCTGCCTTGCAGCTCCACCCGCAAAGTGGCCGAGTCCATATCCCAGCAGACGTTGTTAGTGTACCTGCCAAGAAACGGCATGGGCCCATGAGCCGCAACCAACAATTCAAAAATATACACTAGGACTTCTAAGGGAATACGGTCTCCCCAACCAGAGTCCGGGCCCTGATCGGCCGACGGCTCAGGTCGGGGCTTGGCCCTGGGTTTGGCGGCCGACGTGGGGCCGCGAGCCAGGGGTCTCGGAGCGCGGCGAGGGGCGCGCCTGTGCGCACGAGCGCGGACAGGTTCCAGGTCTGGCAACACTAGCAGCATGCTGTCCGCTTGCAGCAGGTGGTACCCAGAGCCGCGAGGTGCCAGACTGTCCCACCACCAGTCCTCGGCCGAGCGGGTCTGCGAGTCGGCCCGCTTGGATACCCGAGCACGACGCCGAACTCTCCCAGAGGATACAGGAGCCATAGCTCAGGAACCTCCGCTAAAACGGAAGGTGGGTGGGTGGGCTGGGAGGAAGGGGCGTGGCACTGACCTCAGGCCTTCCACTACACATAGCTTCCGGGGGTGGGACTTCCGCCGCGAGTGTAGCGGGTTTGCTGGCGTCTTCATCCAGTCCGAGAGCTGGGGCTTGGCTTCGTCCCGGACTAAGCGGTGTGCTCTTGGTGTTGGGTGGGCAGCTCCGACCCCACGCCCCAGAAACACAACCCTGGGCGGTGGAGCCACGCCCCTCGTCCACCTCGCCCGCTAACTTGGAGTTCTCTGTGGTCCTGATTGGTTTAGCAGACCCAAGACTTCCTTCTCTTCAAGCAGTAGGGACTGCTCTGCTCCTTCTCTGGTCCTCCTTCCCGGAGCCACTCTTTAGACCAGCTTATTGCTCTCACGCTTGCCAGTTTAGCTCTGTGGGATCTCGGTGCAGTCTCCTTGGTATGTGCAGTTCCTGGATCTATCTGCCACCTCCTTCCAGGTGCCTTGGTCTTGCAATATTTTTACCTCAGACCCCTGTTCTGTCCACTCGCCTTTTTGTCTCCCTCCAGCTGGAAGAGGTTTGGCTCCTAGAGTAGCTAGAGAAGCTTTGATCCTACGTGGGGAAGAGTGAACTGTTAACCTGCTCTTTGTCCTGGAGGGCCCCCTTTGACCTAATGGCAGCATCTCCGCTGGGCCGACTGGTGCTGACACATCTACTGGTGGCCCTCTTTGGCATGGGCTCCTGGGCTGCGGTCAACGGGATCTGGGTAGAACTGCCTGTAGTGGTGAAAGAGCTCCCAGAGCGTGAGTGAAGAAAAGTGGGTGGAGCTGGGCTGCAAGTGCTCTTTGTTCCTTAGCCTGGTGCGCTTACACAGCTTTCTCCCTCCCCTGCAGGTTGGAGCCTCCCTTCGTACCTCTCTGTGCTTGTGGCGCTGGGGAACCTGGGTCTGCTGCTGGTGACCCTGTGGAGGCGTTTGGCCCGCAGCAAGGACGAGCGGATCCCTATCCAAGTGGTGCAGGGGCTAAGTATAGTGGGCACAGCCCTGCTGGCCCCTCTGTGGGACCGTGTGGCTCAAGTGGCAGGGCAGTCCCACTCTGTGGCCTTCCTAACGCTGGCGTTTGTTTTGGCACTGGCCTGCTGTGCTTCTAATGTCACTTTCCTGCCCTTCCTGAGCCACCTGCCACCTCCCTTTTTACGCTCCTTTTTCCTGGGCCAGGGCCTAAGTGCCCTGTTGCCCTGTGTGCTAGCCCTGGTGCAGGGGGTGGGTCGCCTTGAGTGCCTGCCTGTGCCTGCCAATGGTACCACTGGGCCTCCTATCAAGGTATCTCACATCAACTTCCCTGAGCGCTTTTCTGCCAGAACTTTCTTCTGGATGTTGACTGCCCTTCTGGGCACTTCTGCTGCTGCCTTCCAAGGTCTCCTGTTACTACTGCCATCCCCACCATCTGTACCTATGGTGGGTCGGGTAAGAACACCAGGAACAGAGGAGGAAGAGGAAGAGGAAGAGGCCTCACCGTTGCAGGAGCCACCAAGCCAAGTGGCAGGCACTATTTCCAGCCCAGACCCTGAGGCTCACCAACTCTTCTCTTCCCGAAGTGCCTGTCTAATGGGGCTGCTGGCTATCACCAATGCTCTGACCAACGGTGTGCTGCCTGCTGTACAGAGCTTTTCCTGCCTGCCCTATGGG